TGCTTTTTAATCCGTTATGTCTGAAGCAGACGGTACATTGGTGGAGCTATCTGTAAGAGGTGTGTAGTAGCAAAGCTACGCATACCCTGTTAGTTAAGAAGCTAGTGCATTGAAGCGGAAAGGTATAGCGGATCGTTATCGTGGAACGCGGATTTTAGAGTAGAGTCACCGTTAGCCCGTGGGTCTCCAAATGCAGCAACCTCCTCGTGGTGAGACCTGGGTCGTTAATACTTGCAAAGTCTAATTCTAATTCATATAACGCAAGTACTAGCGAGCGAATGGCTGCATGTCTTTACGCATTTTCAAAATTTTTTCTTTTCATATCTTACTAGACATTCATTTATATTTTATTAATCGTATTTTCTGTTTTCATTTTCGTCATTCTTAGTCCAGTTTTTTTTTTTATGCGGTTCTAATTAATAATTGATTAGCCTTCACTTCTGATTATATTAGATTTTCAAATATTCGCGCAAAGTTTATCGTGGATTATATTGAGCACATGCGCAAATGTTTTTGAATATCAGAAACGATTCATATTCGTACATAGCTGGATACGCTTTTGTATTATTCTCGTTGAGTTCAGATACGTTGCAGATTTTATCTAACATAGATCCTTTTCTTATATATCAATGATAGTTAATGTTACCTCAAATCTAAAAATGTAAATGCGATGCAAATAAACGGGATGATCTGATAATTCATGCAAATGCATATAAAAATAACGCGGAAAGCTCATTAGAAAAGACGATTACATTTTAATCGTTTAATCTACGATACTAATTCGGAAAAAGGATAATTGATCTTCGTTAATTGCGAGTTGAAAAAGCTTTCGTTTATATGTATATTTTGTGAGTTTTCCATTTACCGGAAAACGGACTTTCATTCGGTATATCCCGAACGTTTCAACTTTTCTCTCTCACTCACTCACTCACTCTCTCTCTCTCTCTCTCTCTATTTTTTTTTTTTTTACTTTTTATTTTTCGATCTATTTCGAATGAGAATTTTTAATCTCTTCGATTTGAAATTTCAGATTGATTCGCTTCATCGTATTCGAGATGATTGTTCGAGGCACAACTCAGTTTAGAAAATCGTTCGCAATTCGTTGCTTTTAAAATGACACTAACTTTTTCTTTTCACTTTTTTTTTTATTTACTCTTAATGCGATAACTTAAATTGTCCATGAAATATTTCTCTCTATTTCTATCTCTCTCTCTATCTCTCTCTCTCTCTTTCTCTCTCTATCTCTTTTTCTGTTGGCTCGAGAAAAGTGGCTTCCTGCGTTCACGTTACGGTGTGCCAAGGGGTTGGTTGTCCAGACATTAACCGAAGTTATACATGTGTGTAAAGGCCAGCGGAGATTCTTTTTTCCACGAGTAAACATCCGCCTTCCGCCGTTGATATTATTTTTTCATTTACGAGTATGCATCCTGCAAATTATAACTCTTCCCCCGACCGCACGGAAGAATTACGTCGTCGTTACGAAGTGGCTTTGTCGCGGGAGGGACAAAACGAAAGAACAAAGAAAAAGAAAAAAAAAAAAAAAAAAAAAGAAAAAGAAAGAGAAAAAAAGAGAAAAAAGAACAACGATAAAAAAAAAAGGAAAAAAAGTAAAAGGACAACAAAATTGTAAATAGTAGAAGATGTAGTAATGGAAATTAATTTTTCCTCTTTTCTTTTTTGGTTTTTCTTTTCTCTTGCAATTTCTTTTACCTCATCATTCTTATTACATGTATTATCGGCGACGCTTAAACTCGATAATTATTTTTTAAATCACGTTAGACAGACGGAGAAGGGAGAAATAGAAAGTGAAAAAAAGATAGATATATATATATATATGTTTTTTTGTTTTTTTTCTTTTTTTTTTTTTTTTTCATTTCTAAGATAATTTTATATAATGACATGAAGGTCACGTTTAACTGAGAATTCGTTTACGATCGCTGAGACTTCGAAAATTTCTAAAAGCATTCAACTCGAAACTACATTTTAGCCTTGGTTATCTATTTCAAGCACGTAGAACAAACGCCAGTTATCTGATCAGCAACATTTTTAGCAAACGCTATTTTCGATGAGCAGACCCATCTCCCAAATGGAACTAAATTTCTTTGCTAATCGATCTGATAACATTCACGCAGATATTGTTAACGATATGTCAGCCAAACCTAAAATGACTTTATTAATACTCTCAATTTCAAATTGATGATTCGCTTTATCCGAGAGAGAGAGAGAGAGAGAGAGAGAGAGAGAGAGAGAGAGAGAGAGAGAGAGAGAGAGAAAGAGAATGGTACTCATATTGAAAGCTCGAAACATTTTATGTAGAAAATACACGTTGCTACTTTATGGCTTGTATTCATGTACAGACCATTGCATATATATATATATATATATATATATATATATTCATTTGCCTCGTTTCAATAAGCTTTCGACTATAGTTCAGTATTTTCCATCGTTGCAAATTAATTCTTTCAATTTCGAAACGTATCTACGTATGTACGTACGTTTTTTTTTCTTCTACAAAATAAAAAAAAAAAAAAGAAAAGAGAAAAAAATAAGAAAGAAATATTCCGAAATGTATCAAACGTCATTCCTGAAATATGAAAATGATCGAAATGGATGAAGAAATAAGAGAAAATAAAATGATGATAAAATCTGTTTGTTTTAATAGACTAAAACAATAAAGTTGTTAGAAAGAAATAGAGAGACAAAGAGAGAGAGAGAGAGAGAGAGACAGAGAGACAGAGAGACAGAGAGACAGAGAGAGAGAAAGATACAAAGACAGAGCCAAGGAGTGTTTCTTCATGTGTTAAACGTATGTATTGGATATAGAGAGAGATATAATGAGAAATAGAGTGAGAGAGAGAGAGAGAGAGACAGAGAGAGAGGGAGGGGAGGAGAGAGGGAGAGTCCTGAGTGTACACACGGTTGTGCGGTTAGTTACGTATAGGCAATTCGGAATGGTGAATGTTAGACATCTCCCGAGGTCTCCATTAGCATACATCCGTAACACCGGTCCTCACCCCTGACTTCCTACACCTCCGGCGAACTACCCTGGAGGGTTAAATTAACCTTCTCTCCGGTGGCATCTAACGGATATCTGTATGCTGTCCTTGTTCGACGAGTACGAGTGTACCGTTGACTCCGAAGAGGAAGAGGATACGAGAAAATAGGAGAGTTTCGCGTTACGGTTATGGAACGACGGAATGGAGTTTGAAAATTTTCTACCACGTGCTACAGTTTTGCCAGAGAGAGAAATAGAAAAAAGGAACAAAGAGAATGTGTATTGTGAATTGTGTGTGTATGTATGTATGTATGTATGTGTGTGTGTGTGTGTGAGTGCATATGCTTATATACATAGTTAGGACGAATTGATTAACACATATTTATTCCGCTCGATATCGACACGTTTAATGATATATCAATTATTTTACTTTGCAATAAGGACTAACTTGTGAAACATACTATAGTCCTTGGTTTAATTACATTTATATATGTATATATATATATATATATATTTGTGTGTGTATATATGTATCTATGTATGTATAAATAGGTATATACGTACATATAGGTAAGCCGTAATATACGTCGTGTTTCTTCCCTTTAATTTTCCCAACGAAATTAGGGGAAGTCATTTTCCCAAGGAAATTTCGTAGCTACATTTCGTAGCACTCCTACGGTTTTTCCACGTTTATGTAACGCAGTAATTAAAACGAGCAAGCGTAATCGGTACGGCCATTAAGTTACTTCCTTTATCGTGTATTAAATTCGCTCAGAGAAATCCGTCCGCATATCTAAATTTCATAGGGAAAACGTGAGATTAGGCACGAAGGAAGTAGGTACGATCGATTAAGGTGGACTCTTTTCTCTCTCTCTCTCTCTCTCTCTCTCTCTCTCTCTCTCTTTCTCTCTCTCTCTCCCTCTCTCTCTCTTTCTCTTTCTATAGCATTTTGATCTTTCATCGACAACTACGAAAAAGCACGTGGCAGCAGCTTTGAAGCCTCACGATGGAATTTTAATAGCCGATGCCAATGTTCACGTCCTCGTGCACTCGAAATTGGTTCGCGTGTTTCTTTGCGGTAGAAAGAGGGTAGGAAAGAGGATTGAAAGAGGGTTGAAAGAGGGCAAATATCGGGGCACCGTTGTTAAAGTAATAAAACGTTTTTCGCCTCACGGCGATCGTTTGAACGAAAGAAAGTTAAGCTTTTATGGATTTTAACCCTTCCTTTATATTTATATTTATATATTTTTTTGTTTCTTTTTCTTTGTTCTCTATCTTTCCTTCTCTCTCTCTCTCTCTCTCTCCCTCCCTTTCTCATCCCTTCGTTAAAAACTTTCTTCTCGAAGTTATCCGTTTTAATATTTCTTTCTTCTTTTTTTTTTTTTTTCTTTTTTTTTTTTTTTTTTTTTTTTTTGAAAGAATAATAATATATAAAATGAAACTTAATTAAATCAGATTTATAATAATGAATTACTATATGATAATATATAAATAATACAAATGCATATTCATATAGATGTTTATATTTCAATTTAGTTTAATTTAATTGAATTAATTAAATTAAATTAAATTAAATTAAATTAAATTAAATTAAATTAAATTAAATTCGATCCTCTCAATATGACGTATTAATGATATTTAATTATCAATTAAATATAAGAATTACAAGCGATCCCAAAACTTTTCTTTAAAGTTTAAATGATACAACGATAAATATGACGAAATTAATATTAATCATTAATTGAACGATATACGATATTAAAAAAAAAGTTGTAGAAGAAAATAATTGAGATTTATTCGATGTAATCATCTTGATGGTAGATAAGAAAATAGATTCAAGAGAAAAAGAAAATTAAAGGATATATATATATATATATATATATATATATATATATATATAGAGAGAGAGAGAGAGAGAGAGAGAGAAAGAGAGAAGGAAGGAATAAAAGGAAAGCAAGGAAGGGGACAACATGGTGGACACCTCACCCTTTTCACCCTTTACCTATATCCAACAGCTCGTAATGGAATTGCAAATCCGACGACATTACATGCCTCTTGGCAAGTTGCGATTTCGCGCTAGTTTCCTCGCCTACTAACCATCTCTTACTCGTCCTAAAATTACGAATTAATTAGAATTAATCCTCGTACGATCTCAATCAAATCATGAATGATCGATGGATCCTACGAGAAAGATGATATATTTTATATTTTATCACGAAAATATAAATAATCTTTTTTCTCTCTCTTTCTCTCTCTCTCTCTCTCTTTCCTTTTTCATTTTTTACTTTTATCTTTCGTACTTATCTCCATTTTTACAGGAAATAAATATTACACAGGGGATACTTAATTATATTTGACGATATCGTCGAACAGACGCTTTAAATGAAAATAAATAGAACGTGGCATTAATCGGATCTTACAAAGGCTCTTCTGATAGAATATCGTAAAGCTCGTTATACTTGTGTACGATATCAATGAAGGACGATAAAAGGGAAGGGTAGTATGAATATGGATAGTAGTGTAACAATCGTTAAGGTATGACGTAAATTGGGGCCTGTGTGTCGAAGAGTTTATTTTGAACAAGGTGGATGAGAAGTGAAAGAGAAAAAGAGAGAGAAAGAGAGAGAGAGAATGAGATAGGATAATTCTGTCCCATAATGACTATACTTAACTTCCTGATTATTGTATCATTGTATATATGGATTATAGGCACAGAAATCATTTCGTTAAATTCGAAATAAAAAATTATAATAATATAGATCGATGATTTAAATATGATTTCTTTTTTTTTTTTCTTTTAGAATTACGAATGATTAATGAAAGAAAAAAAAAATTATATAAAACATTTTTAATCGATATAAAATAATATAGAATTAAATGGAGTTTTACTATCTTCTCTGTCTCTTTCCCTCTCTCTCTCTCTCTCTAACTTTCTCTTTCCTTTGTCTAAACGATACTGAACGTTTCAGACATGAACACAAGAAAGACATAGAGGTAACATAGGTGTACAATCTACTTACTCTATAATAGTACGACGACACTACCAAGAGTTCTTCGACCATTGTTCGTATGTCATGGTCGTTCGTTTAACACTTCAACCAAATACCAAAGCGGAACATGACTTTCGGTTTTGACGTTGATACCACATTCAAGCTTCCACCACCAATTTTCGAGATAAATTTGAACGAACGATATACATGTAATCATGAATGATGAAAATGTGAGAACGTATTCTCGATTATTCTCGATGATTAAAATATGAGAAAGAAAAATTTTTCTTATATTGTTCCTCTTCAAATGTTAATTACAATCATGTTCGTTTTGGACATTTCAAATGACATCTCGTTTCCCCTTTGGCAGATCAGATCCACAGGGCCGTACTTTCGTAACGCCCCGCGAGATTAATTTTCAACGAGGACATCCAGTAAAAGCGCTACTCGAATATTAATTGTAAAAGAGTCACTGAGAGAGAGAGACAGAGAGAGAGAGAGAGAGAGAGAGAGAGAGAGAGAGAGAATAAAAACTCGTCTCGTCTACGTTCCTCATAAATTTAAACGTACGCGTTGGACAGGATATTGACGCTACAGTCGTATCAAAAAAAAAAAAAAAAAAAAAAAAAGAAAGAAAGGAAAAAAAATATCTTTCAAAGGAAAAGCAATAGAATAGGGAGGGTAAAAAAAAAAGAAAGAAAGAAAAAAAGAAAGAAAGAAAGAGAGGAGGCAAAATGGTAGATATTTCGTACCTGGTAGACGTGCAACAGGCGATAAAAGATATAAGTCCTAATCTTTTATATTCGATAATGTGTCCGCGTGGCATGTATTTTCTCTCGTGGAATTTAAATCAAATCATGCACAACACAGTAGATACATATATATATATATATATATACATATCTACTAGAAAATAGCGAAGGTCGAGAAGAGGCTTTTGCAAGAAGAGAGAGAGAGAGAGAGAGAGGGAGAGAGAAAGTAGAGAGGCCAAATTGTAAATCTTTCCACGTCACAGAGACCAGATTTATTGTAACTTTATTTGTAATTCTATTTTTCTTTCTCCTACATATGTATATACATTCATTCTCTCGTAGCTCTTTCCAATAAATGTTTCGAATAGTTTCGGAAAAAAAAGCGACCGGAAAAAAGGGAAAGAAAGAGAGAGAGAGAGAGAGAGAGAGAGTAGGAGGGTGGAAGAGAAGGAGGGAGGGAGGGAGGAAAGAAGAGAAAAAACTATGGAAATTTCTGAATTCTCATATATATATATATACATATATATATATATGTATACATGTATATATATATATATACATATAGATGTATGTATATACGGTATGAATATATTTTAGAAGGAAGAATTTATTGATCGTTTCTTGACTTAGCAAATTCTCTCACTACTTTTAACAGAACTAAGAGGTATCCATCAGTCATGAACTTAGAGAGAGAGAGAGAGAGAGAGAGAGGTAATACTTTAACGTGTACCTTCAAACTCCGAACTGAATACCTTTGGCCAAGTTAGAAGGTGACCTCAACCTCACCCCTCTTTTGAACTTTCAAAGGCTTAAGAAGGGTTTGTCGAGGTGTAGACGACTAAGCTATAATCGACGATGACTGCGGACGAGCTGTTTCCTCCTCCTCCTCCTCCTCCTCCTCCTCCTCCTCCTCCTCCTCCTCCTCCTCCTCCTCCTCTTCCTCCTCCTCCTCCTTCTCCTTTTCTCTCTCTCTCTCTCTCTCTTTCTCTCTTTCCTGTCTATTTCTCTCTCTATATTCTCTTTACTCGCCTTTCTTCGTGTTTTCACGTCTCAATTTCAAATTCGCTTGTACATTAGTCTTCTTCTTCTTCTTCCTCTTCTTCTTTTCTTCCTCTCTCTCTTTTTTTTTATTTCCAAGTGTCTTAGAAATATTGCATATAGTCTTTTCAAAAAACCACTCCACTTGCATTTGCACTATCCTCAAGGACGCTTATATTCTTTTTTCGAATGATATAGTTCGAACTATCTGGAAAAATCATGGATACCCTTATCGAGATATATATTTCTACGTCGATTGTTCTCAATAAAAAGAAGAAGATGAAGAAGAAGAAAACGAAGAAGACGAAATAGTAGAGGGGAACAAAAAAAGAACCAATCATGTATTTCTATATTTGAGATATACGAAAAGGAATCGAGGAGGACGATTTAGAAATTTCGATTTGTCTCGTCGATTTTCAATCTAAACAAATCTCGTTGAAATTTTGTAAATTCCACGAACGAGAAAATCTTTTGCCTGACGTTCGAAAAAATATTATATGTATAAACATATAATATACACACACACACACACGTACACACACATTTAATATATTTATATGAAATATTTTTTTTTTAATTTTTACAATTATTAATTAAAAAAAAAAAAAAAACAGTTTATTTAATAACATTCACGCGCTTCGAATAAGATTTAAAGTTCAATTTAAGGTATCAAAGTGTTAAAAAACAAAAAAAAAAAAAAAACAAAAAAAAATAAAGAATAAAAGAAGGAAAGTAAACTCTCAAAGGAATAAAAAAATCTATGGCACATCTTTCGTTCGGATCAATTTTGAATTACTATTTCTCAGAGTTAGTTCTACGGCATGTTCGATGATAGCGTAGTAAGTTCGAAAGTTCCTCGAGGAAACTTGATTATATCGTTGCTGATCCTCTATGGAATTCCTTTTTTGTCTTTATAATAGCAATAGAGAACGTTTATTACATTACGTTTCGTATGAGGCACAAATGCCCATGAGATCTCGTTATTAACGTGTCATGGTATTTCTACGTTGAAACGACTCGTTAGAATTTCTCACGGCTCTTTTGGTTTGCATTTTCTAAACTCACCTTAACACGGGAAACCTTGCCGACACTTTCGTATGAAGTAAATTCGAGCACCGTAGAGTTTAAAATTCATTGTGGTCAAATCGCGTAGAGAAATATTATATATTATAAATTTCTCTCTTAAACATGCTCTTGTATTTTATTCAACACACTTAATGTCAACAAACAAAAAGGAAAATAACAATTTCGAAGGAAAAGTATACGAAAAAATAAAAAAGGAAGAATTGAAGGAGGGAGGCAAAAAAGAAAACGAAAAAAAGTAAATAAATAAAAAAACAACAAGAACAAAAAGGAAGAAAACGAAAAACGAAACGAGGGTGAACAACTCAAAAAAAAAAAAAAAAAAAAGAAAAAGAAAAAGAAAAAAGAAAACAAAGAAAAGAAACAAAAAAAAAAAAAGAAAAGCAATTTCTCGTAAACCCTCAATATAAGTAGAATCTTTGAAGAGGGTAAACGAACGTTTTACGCGTTACTCTACAAAAATTTCAAACCAATCGGACATGGATCGTTATTCGAAGTGGAGCCATAAATTCCAAGCAGTTGCACACTGATGAGAGAGAGGTTTCGTATCAAGAGCACAAACGTCTCTTCGGATAAAAGAAGATATATCGCTTTTCCTTCTCTAACCTTACTCATCCTATGCATCTTCCTTTAAACATCTTCTATCTGAGCTTGAAGGATAAGATTCTAAAGTACGAAAATTTCGTAAGAGAATGCCGTCGAATTTTCGTATAGATTGCTACGTCTTCGGAAAATTATCTTTTGAAAATTTTCATCGAGAGAAGTGCATCATATTTTCGAACGCATAAACGTTTCTTTATTACGAATTCTTTATCTCATTATTAAAGAGCGAAAAAGAGAGAGAGAGAGAGAGAGAGAGAGAGAGAGAGAGAGAGAGAAAGAGAGAGAGAGAGAAAGAGAAAAGGTCACTAGATAGAGTAAGCCTCTCTGTTGTCCGTTGGCATGCATCTCGTGGCTCTAATGAAAAAAAAAAAAGAAAAAAAAAGAGAGAGAGAGAGAAAGAGAGAGAGAGATATCCCTTGTATGCGTGTACACACCAGTACGAAGTGCTACTACTACTATGAGTGGAGAAAAGAGAAAAAAGAAAAAAAAAAAAAAAGAAAAGACAAAAAAAAAAGAACGAAATAGCACGTGCTTTACGCGTTTCGAGAGTACGTATGTACATACGCGACG